CAACAGTCAAACTTGATCGATCACCAATGTCCTGAAACTGTAACGCGCTGCTCCAGGGTAGGCGCTATCGTACCGTTTTCACCAGGTTTTCCGCTGCACCGTTCAAACAGGGATGGCGTGGTGCTGTGCGCAAATGTCTGCAGCCAATACTGTCNCAGAATTTCGATCCGTTATCAGTCACAAAGACTTGTGGGACACCTTCTCGACTGTAACACTTTCGTAGTATTCCCATTACGAACGACGTGGTTCGTGTGCTGGTAAGAATAATTCAGGCCATTTTGAGTAGGAATCAATGAGTACTAGTGCGTGGTACTGACAGAGAAATTGTCCACGGAAGTTGGCATGCACGCGTTGCCATGAAATGCAGCTCTCTGGTCAAAGAACCCAATTTTTCGGATTTCACTTCGGCTTTCATAGACACACGTCGCAGTTTTTAGCACTTCGGCTGATGTCTTCATTTATACCAGGCCACCAACACATCTGTCTTGGTCAACAGTGAACACAAACAGGAAATAATAATTTCATACTGCATCGATCGTCGCGCAGGCTAATCAGGACCGCGCTGCCCGTTGCATCGAGCGGGGTTGGTAGTGATAAGTGGGCTACTGCTCAGATATTCCAACCTTTGTTTAACTCTTTGTCTTCAGTTCCCAACCCTCTTCCGACCCGTAACATTCCCTCAGACAACTTGTTCCTCATTCGCCAAAGGTCATTGCCAAATAGTACTGTAAGTAAAGTGCACACTCAGAAGCCTCGTCAATCAATTAAACCGGGGCCTTTAACGTGAAGACTCTCGTGCAGGTGGGTCAACAAGCTTGTCTTTCGCGTACAATGAAGTCTTTGGAAATTGATGTATGTTGCTTATCGGATACACGTATTCAGGATCCTAGTATCAAAAGCCACCCGAGTGCGCCGGATCTGCCCTGCGCAATAAGGCTCGAGGGTTCAGTCAGTGTTTGGAAGGGCAGCAACACCAAAAGGTGTTTGTTCATTATTTCCGCATATACGCCAACCAACTGCAGTCCCACTTCAAGAAACAACGAATTTTACGACAAACTCGCCGAATTCATTCGGTTGGGCCGCAGTTGTGATATTATAGTGCTGGTAGGTGATTTTAACGATTAGGTTGGAAAACTGGGCGCATTCGAAGCTTTTCTAGGAGGATGCTTGGCTCTCCCCGCCCAGCGAACAGACAACGGTGATCGATTACTACATTTCTGCTCGGATCATCGGTTGTTCTTATCTAGCACCAACCTTCGACACAGCTCTCGTCGTGATAGCTCAATGATAGATAATCCGACTAGTAATTTCTTTTCCTCAATTACCGGACACACACTATGAACACTATGTAGCCGTTCGACAAAGGTTGGGATATCTGAGCAGTAGCCCACTTATCACTACCAACCCCGCTCGATGCAACGGGCAGCGCGGTCCTGATTAGCCTGCGCGACGATCGATGCAGTATGAAATTATTATTTCCTGTTTGTGTTCACTGTTGACCTTGCGCATCGTTAGGTGTGTGGGTATCCGGTAATCTTTTTTCTGATCATTCTTATACTTCAACTCCCGATGTGAATGAAGCAAAACAAATCTCATTTGCAACTCGGAGAGTTGATTTCGAGACAAACAAACCAAACTGATCATTCATACATTGCTCATTATAAAAACACTCAAAACTGCCCATGGTGTCTAGTTGGCTGAAGGATGTCACGTCTAAACGACAACACTTACTAGAGAATTATCGCAATGATTTTTCGAGGCTTGTAGGTTTCAAAATCAAATACCCGAGCAGCAAATGAGATTTGCATTGTCTGATGCTTTGATTTGTTTATGAAGAACTCCGTTCACTCCAACTAGACGGATGTTATGACTGTCCCTGTCCTATAGGTGACGTGTGACAGGCATAGTACCAACCAACTCGTGGGGTTACAATAGAATGCGACTGGAGGATTCACAATGGTTTTATTGGAAATGGAAAAAGTATAGATCTTAACAATAAAAAAGTTACTGCTCAGTAAATGCATCGTACATAAACAGCTCGTTTAGCCAAGTAAACTTAGTCTTCAAAAGAAAGGGATATTGCAGCATCTTCCGGGGAATTAAATTATGCATTGTTAGGCCAAGTGTATGCGTCTAATTGACTGATAATTACCTGGTATTCGCACAAAAGCTGAAGCTTAAGGGAGGGGGCTGGGGTTTAAACCATTGAACTTTACAATAATTGCAAGGTTCTGCTCATTGGATCCCCGGGAACACAGATTTGCCTCACCTTTTCAGATTCTTATGTGCCAGTCCAGTGCGCCATATCTAACATCCCAACTAGTCCTTACACAGATAATGTGGCAGGGTATGGGGCCAATAGTTGCAGACCAACTATTCAGAATAAGAAGACTTATTCTGATACTGGCAATCAGTTTTGCAAGCTCTCATTCCCTCACAAACGCGCCAAAAATGTCCCGAGTCCTTACGAGATCTCGAAGTTCACGGACTTCGCGAATTTTGGAAACGATAATTATTTGTTGCTTGCGTCCACAATTGAGTTCAAAGAATATTTGTGACTCAACTGTCGTTGTCGTAGTAACGATGCCACCCCATCATACTGTGAGACATGAACTTCCTTCCCCCTCCCTATACCACTATGTTTGAAAAGTTCACTTGTATGTCAAATTTTGTCATCTCACTTGACCTCAAACCCAAACAAAGCCAGATCAAACAATTCATTTGTCCGCCACCTTGTTCAAATGACCCATTTCAATTCCCATGTTTCTTTATTTGGCATGATCATACAAATGTGCGCTTACGGCTGACCAGGAGCACGCGAAATTGATGGCCAACATTAATTAATAATATTAATTATGTCTTCTTGTGTCGATGAAATGGGTGAATAGAAAAGGATGTTACACCTATTTAGAATAAGACTCAATTTAGACCAAAAGTAACTTAATTCGGACACGTGGCCCTCATGTGGTGTACAATCTTGAACGACTCTGTATGGTCTGTTCGTTGGAGCAGGTAAAACGACTTCAGTTCAACGTAAGACATTTAAGGGTGCAGATTTTTTGCTTGTTCGGACAGGAAAGTAAACATATTGGCGAAATCAACAATTACTTTTACTTCAACGTTAACGCAACCGCGACTCCTTTTCCGCGTCTGACTGAAGAAAATCTTGACCAAGATGAACTGAATCAGAAATGTGCTCCGTGTATTGAAATAAGTAACGGTATCGCAAACCACTGAGAGAATAGACGGTGGCACGTGATCATGATTAGTGAATATATATATACAAGCAGAAATCACATTCGAGAAAAAAAGTCACTGTCAGGAAAGGGATTGATCACGGAAGGCCATACAAGTAATAGCTCGCTGGTGTCCTTTGTATTCCACCGGTACTTCACCCGTCTCCAAATTCCACAAACGCGCGATTCCGTCCGAAGTAGCAGTTAATAGGAATCGGGAATCGGCGGAAAACGCACAATCCCAAACCCAAAACAAACCGGAAGGACTGACTTTCTGAGAAGTGACAACACTAAAATCGGCCGTTTTCAAGATTTTGAATTTTCCATCCGCTCCACAAGTTGCAAGCAATGTGCTATCTGGGGAAAATTGCACTTTGAGAGCGTAAGTTGGGTGAACTTGGCACCGATACTGAAAAAGAGAAAACGATTAAAAATGAGCAGAAAACGAAAACTCATCGGGATAATATGAAAAACTAATGCTGGATAAAAAATGCACAACGTTAGTTTCGAAACATCTAGTTTCCATCAATGCATACTCGGTTTTCCGGATACAACCTCATCTGATCATTCTAAGTTAAAGTTTTCCCCATACCATCTTTAGCAGAACGAACCACCGTCTCCTTACTCGAAGTCGTGATCACAAGCAACAAGTAAGACATCGTTCTCCAGAAAACCTCACAAGGTTAAGGGAAATGATCAGGTACTTCGACCTTACTTCGTTTTCTGATTTCAATTGATATCCGCCCCGATCGATTCTCGTCCCCACACCTAAAACAACTCCACCGTTGAAAGGAGCGTGCCTTCAAAAGGCATAAGCGTAACGAGGTGCACCTTCTTTCTAAATCCATCCAGGTTGAATTTCGAAGGCTTAACTCTTTATACGCCCGTGTTCGGCTTGATAATAAGGGTAGTCGTGAGACCTGACAAGCCCACATGTGAATTTCTGGCATTAAATCCTCACACCCTGCACCTGCGGCGGTGGACATAGATGGTCAGAATCATAGTTTCATCAACCGTGGAACTGCTCTCACCGATCTACCTAATGGGTATGAAACAAACAGGGCTGATTCTGTCGCCAGGGTTGCACCTGCCGATATTTATTAAGAGTAGGCTCGATTAAACCCTCACAAGTCCTGCGGCGGCGACGGAGTCTCACACGTTGTCCTGAAAGAATGTGCTGACTTTCTTTCCCCTGTACTCAATAAACTTTGCAATAATTGTATTTTGCAGCAACGTATACCCGACTGCTGGAGAATAGACGCTATCACCCCAAAGAAAACATCCTCAAAATCCCGTCCTATTGCCTGCACCTCAGTTGTTTTGAAGGTGTTTGAGAGGCTCCTCATTAAGACCCTGTCCACGCAATTCAATGTTGGTGAACCGAACTAGTTTGTGTACACCCATTCTCGCGGTACCCTGGATGCCCTTGCTTACCTGTCCCACTTTGTTTTATCCAACCTGGATAAGAAAAGCAAAACTGTACGCAAATGCTTCCTAGACTACAGTGATGCCTTCAACACGATTGACCGACAAGTTCAACCTTCTACTACTGAACTCTTGCCCAATTATTTCTCCATCCGTCAGCAGTTCACACGCTACAAAGGTCGTACATCTTCACTGCTGCTCTCCTCACAAGGACTACTGCAAGGCGACACTATATCCTCTTGTCTATTTTCTGCTTACATTTCCTCTATGCCCCTGTTGTGGCCTACAAATGACTGATTCGATGCCATACATGACTATGGCCAAATTGATTGAATGATCGATTAACTGACTGTTTGAATGCTGACTTGACGTCATTCGCACGTAGTGCAACATGTGAGCCGGAGTCGGCCGCCTGCCTGCCTTCCTTCCTGCACGCTGATCGTTCCTACTTGTTCTCCGATTTGTGTACCGGCTACATATTTGCTGTTTATAATAAACGTAATGCTTAATTCGTTGTGTGCTCGTTTCCCTACTAAATTTGGGACACAACAGCCTCTAAGCAATTCTTCTCATTTTGTTAAGTATGCAGACGATATAATATTTGGAAAACCCTTCCCCAACTCATCGTTTCAAACCACTCTGCAAGAAAACAAATCAGAAATAGTTGAGTGGTCTTACCAAAGGAACCTCCACATGAATCCCCAAAAATGTGATGACGTAATTTTTTTCCTTTTTAGAAGGGCAAAAGTATGATGAATTATCAAATGCCAACTCGCCTTTATCTAACCTCAGTGACCAGATGAAAAGACAACCGTCTAGTCACCTTGGTGTTATTTTAAACCGTAACCTCACCTGGTTTGACCTTAAGGGGAACATGCAAGCCAGAACCAGCTAGTTGAGTCTGCGTTTCAAGGCAAGGATGTTGGAGGGAAGACCAAAAGGGGGAGTGTTTGACAGTTGTGCTGTTCTCGGAAAAAAAAGATGATCGAAAGTTAGGAATGCGACACATGGGGATGGTCACTTGAAATGGGTGGCTAGCCGCTTGTGTGCGGGATCGACGAGGAAGATGCATCGAGCCGGATAGTGTATGACCCAAGGAATTCCGATAGGTAGAATTGTGTTACGAAATACACAAGTTTTCCACCTCGGTTAAACGCCACGTGGACGTCAAGGGTATTTCAGCTCATTATTCGCACCCTGGTCCTTAAAAATGGATGAGGGCACTTTTACGTCTTGATTTTCGTTGGTCAGACAACTGCCTGGGCAGGAAAAAGTTGTTATTGGAAGAGAACAGACGATGACCTTCGCGGAACCGAAGTAATCATATAATTGTCGACAGGGCAAAGCACGACTTCTGGTGTGCTCGGTTTCCAAACATGTGCTTAAAATCACCTGCCAGTACAACTATATCAGAACTTCGGCACAACCGAATGAGGTTGATGAATTCGTCTTCTTCTGAATCGGACTGCAACTAGTGGACGGGATGTTTGAACAGTAGCCCACTTATCACCATCCATATTCTTACATATATATATATATATATATTCTTACATAGAAGGTAACTGCAAATAAGTTAACCATAGTTAGTTCCAAACTGTAGCCGGACAACCGAAACTCACCCGTTCCAGCGGCTTCCAAACAGAGTTTCCATTGAGAGACCAAACCATCAATTGCCCGGAGGAATTGACAGCAGCTAGTGATGTGACATCCGGATCGATTGATAAACTGTGAATCGGACCACCCTCGGGATCGGGGATAATGCTGTTAGCAGCATTATTTCGCAAATCCCAAAATATGATTTCTCCGTTGCTGGTACTCATTACGATTTCATGCTGATTGCGATGTAACAGCATGGAGTTGATGCTAGAACTGGTCTGGAAAGGTAGGTTTGGGAAAATCTAAATGATAGACAGCAGACAAATAATGAAGACTTCGGACAGTGCAATGAACCTAAGTAGATGGCATAGGTCTGTCGATTTAGATGCTTCTTTAGAGAGATGAATACATTTGAATTTAACGGTGAAAAAGTCATTCATTCAATGTATAGGGCTGGAACACCCATCCATCGATTCCAGCAAGTGAAGTGCTTCCGGTATATAGCCCGTGACGAAAGTATTGCTTTCTTCCTGAATTTTCGAATTATATCCGCTCCCATATGCACAATCAACACCATTTCGAGAATCTGGCCGAGGTTCAAATGAAAAGCCGACCTTTCATCAAGTTACCCCTTATTTTAACGAAAATGTATCGAATAATATTTTTCACCACAAAAAAGAACCCACTTTATACCTTATATATATTCCACTTTCTAATAAAAAACACCTCGCATTTGTGTTTTGTGGTAGAATCTCCAGGGTGGTACACCTTTGGGTAATAAAAGCTTAAATGTTTTTCAATAGGTAGAATACTGGGCTACACGCAGACCACACCATTGTTTTGATGACGCGAAATAACAACCAGCATTTTGGTGCATACTAGTAATGGACTAAGGCGATATCGTGCTGGAAATTGGCTTCAGGGTGATTATCCAATATCATTACTGGTATAAGTTGCTGCTGCAATGTACGACTAAATGCACCACAATCTTGCAACCCACACGTAGTATAGCAAGCAAGTTCGGTGAGGCCGTTTCTTAATAAGACACCTCGTACTATTAAGAAGTTTCGATTGCTAACCAGCTTAATGAAGAATCATTCTTTATATAGATCATATAAGTACTAATTTCATGCATCTAAATTAAATTTCTTTCCTTCGTTAGAGAAGACGAAATTCCAATCCGTTTTTCTAAGCCACGAGTTTCAGTTCGTATTAGAGATCTTTCTGTTTGTATAGTTGCCAAAAAATAATTTCATACTGCATCGGTCGTCGCGCAGGCTAATCAGGACCGCGCTGCCCATTGGCATCGAGCGAGGTGGGTAGTGATAAGTGGGTTACTGCTCAGATATCCCAACCTTTGTTTAACTCTTTGTCTTCAGTTCCCAACCCTCTTCCGACCCGTGACATTCCCTCAGACTTGTTCCTCATTCGCCAAAGGTCTCCAGGGTTCAATCAACGTCCGGAAGGGAAGCAACACTAAAAGGTGTTTGTTCATCGTATCAGCATATGCACCAACCAATTGCAGTTCTGATACC